TGACAGCTCTTGCCTCAGCAGAGGACGTGGGTGAGGTAACCTCGAGGATTTTCCAATCCTACATTTCTACAGTTTCACACTCTTATTTACATAAAGATTCTCTTCCATAAATCCAGCAAACAAACCTTTGCCTGGAAAGCCATTTCCATACCCCATTAGTGCTGTTATTAATTAATTTCAATAACTTATCCCATGAGGTGCTGCCTGTGTTCTGCTTGTCCCTGGCTGGTTTCCTTAAGCTCCCAGATAACTGCTGCTACTTAGCTCTGATTCCATTCTGAAATTAGCTTCTGGTGGAAGTATGTTCCTCTTCCAAAGCCTTGTGCTCATCTGAGGTGCAGCATTAACGATGGAAAGCTTATTAAGCACCTGAACAGATGTTTTAGTGGGTTTTAGTGTCTCCCTGTGTTATCTCCCCCCAGCCAAGAGGAGAGCCTGAGCTCCAGGAAGGCGTGAGCACCTTGTAGCACACGTAGCTCGACATAAATCCCCGTGTTCATTCCCAGTGTGGATCCCTGGTACGGATTAGCTGGTTTCATTAGCAGCCTCAGAGCCTGGCTGTTTAATATTAATAATCCCTGTTAGCCTATAGACTTAATTAGGGTGAGAAGCAGCTGGATGCTGGGCAGGGCCAGCCTTGGCTCCAGACCTGGCTCTGCCCTGACTGCTGAGCTCTTAACTGGGGGCAGCTGGGAACAGCACAGCCTCGTGGCTCCTTATCCCCCTCCTCCTTCCCGCCTCCAGGACCCTTTTAAAGGCTTCTGGCTCCCGATCAGGAGCTGGGAGTGTGGTTGGAGCAGTCCTTGTAGTCAGGCAGTTTTTCCTCTGCATGGGAGTAGCTGCCTTTGCTCCTCTGGGGTGAGTGTTCTTTGCCTTCTGCTCCCAGGGACAGAATACAGGGGTTGCTTGGGCTGTCAGCACCAGCCTGATTCATTTCTCCTGGCTGTCCTTACAAAAACTTGCTCAAGCCAAGGGCAGGTTTTGACCCGTTTGGGTGTTACAAAGCTGGAAAAACATCCAGGAATCTTAGAGGTGAAAAATGCAGCAGAGCTGCTCGAGTGCTCCTCAACTTGCAGAGCCTGTAACTGCAGTGGCACCAGTCCAGCACTCGATATTCCTCCTGGTGGAGGGTATGAGACCCCGGCAGCAGCAGAGCTCTGCAGCTCAATTAGCACAGTTCATAAACTATGCAGCTCAATTAAGAAAGCCCTGTCTGTGGAAAGCAAAGCAAATGGAAATGGATGCCTGAGGTAATAAAATATGCAGTTCAGTTGGAAGATGATGCAGGTGGTTAATGAAAGTGTTATCTGACATGCAAAATGGGAATGGGAGAGCGTGTGGAGAGGTAAAAAAGAGGTTGGGTGTGTCTGAGTTTGTCCATCGCAGCAGGGGAGGCTGTGGAGCATCTGAAGTGGCCTTTTTAGTTGTTTATGAGTATTTTGGAACCACCTCCAAAACAGCAGTGGCTGTGAAGAAATGAGTATCCAAAGTTTTTCTGTTCCTGATGTGCTGTATCCACAGGATGTGCAGCAGATGTTGTGGTGTTTGGTGATGCAGATGAGCCTTTGGAGCCCTGCAGCTGCCAGTGAGCTCTGGGTGTTGTACAGGGTAGGGCTGCCAGGCAATGCCCACCTACAAACCTGCCCAACCAACACCTGTAGGGCTGGGGGGGGGCCTGGCTCCTCAGAGACTTGGGTCAAATCCGAGAGTTTTTAGGGAAAACCTCTTTTAATTTCAGCAGGAGCTTTGACTCTGTCTGGTGCACAGGATTTGGCCTTTAGAATTAAACAGTTATTCTGAAAGTGTCAAACAGGATTGCTGTGCTTTGTAAATAATTGGGGAATAAGCAATGCCAAGTATGGGGGGGGAAAAAAGAGGAATAGTTGGTCAGAGAGGTTGTGGATTCCCCATCCCTGGAAGTGTCCAAGGCCAGGTTGGATGGGGCTTGGAGCAACCTGGGCTAGTGGAAGGTGTCCCTGACCGTGGTAGGGAGTGGCACTGGGTGGGTTTTAAGGTTCCTGCCAACCTAAACTAGTCTGGGATTCTATGATTTTAAAATAGTTTTAGTAATTAATATAGAATTTGATAGAAATATTAGTTTGATACCTAACATTTTTTATTTGGCTGTGGTTACAATCCTGGATAATCCACTTAGTGTATGAAACTATGCAAATACACTAAATATTGGGCTGCTGCCAGTCAAATGCATGGCCTAGAAATGCTTCTTCTTACCTGGTCCTATAGAAACCAAATACTACTACCTAAATGTCTGTGGCATTATCCACTTGTTTGCCAGGGACAGCATAAGGTAAAATCAGGAAATACCTGCTGGGAGAATAAAAGACTATTGATCCTTGCAATGGCAACAAGAATGTCTCCATTCATTTCAGTGAGCTTTTGAGAAGCCCTGGTACTTTTCCTGGAGTGAAATGTTTCATCCTCCCAGGAAGGGAAACACTGGGATGTGTAATCTGCAGGGTGGGGGGGGGGTGATCAAATTGGGGATCTCCTGTCGTGACAGAGGGGACACTGCAGCTGGTTCTACAGCCCTTGGGTGGAATTCCCAATATCTGTGAAAGCTGTGAATCAGTGAACTCGAAGGCATGTGATACATAAAGACCTTGCTTGCAAGGGAAACCCTTCCCTGGTTCCTCCAGGTGTTTGTGTCCAGCCTGATTCCAGCAGAATCAGGGATGTTGCTGCTTTTAAGAACGACTGGATTGGGGGACTGCTCATCCGTGTCTTGGCGGGACTTGGAGAGGCACAAAGCCACACATTTAAAGGACATTAATAGGTGATGCCCCATCCTGTGCTGACAAGGCCACGCCACCACCTCCTAGAGCATTTTAAACTTATTTACTGCACCACAGATTTCAGCTTCAGAACCTGGCAATTATTAGCCAAACCTGAGCCATTTGGAGGTGTGATCTGTGATTTCTGCCTTCTCCTTAGTTTTCCATGGCTGACTCTTGGCACACAGCAGATTTCTGGCCTCAAGACAAACTGCAGGGACACAAACCTGTTCTTCCCATTAGCTTTTTAAGTTGGTAGGTTGGGAGAGGGTGGGTTTTTCATGAATACCCTAAATTAAAGAGACTCCAGCCTGACTGTGAAATTAATAGAGCTATCAAAAGCCTCACTGTCATTATACAACAGTTGTTAATTATTTACAAGCAAACTTCTGCAAGAGCAGTATTGTATCTGTCAGCATTGTTATTACAGTTAAAGTGCTTTGTCTGGGTAGAAGATAACATGACTCATTTTGGTGAAATGCAATGAATATGGAATATTCTGTTTCTCTTCACCAATTAGTCAGAGGGAGAACAATGGCGTGTCTCTTTCCTAACAAGATGTTTGTTTTTAAGAGTCTAACAAAATAAATATTTTCAGGGCTTTGCTTACAAAGGGCGTAATTCATTGCAGCTATTATAATCAAAGTTAAAAGCTAAAACCAATTTGTTTTTTTTCTAGAATGGGGAAAAACAATTTTCATCAAGCAAATTCTCCTTTTTCAGCTGGTGGAAAATGCATGTGAGTCTTTTTATTATTATAGTATCTTGGTTTGTCTTATTATTTCAATGAAGGCTTTAAAGTTCATCCAAGTCCCTGGGCAGGGACACCTTCTACCATCCCAAGTTGCTCCAAGCCCTGTCCAGCCTGGCCTTGGACACTTCCAGGGATGGGGAATCCACTGCCTCTGGGTGATTTTGGTTGCTAATAAAGTCAAAAGGAGACTTGCAGTGAGCAAAGGAATGAACCTCTTAATTCCTGCTCTACAGTGACTTGATTGGTTACTGGATGCAGTGGTAAAATCCAAACCTCTCATTTATGCTCTCCTAGATCGTGCCACCCTTTGACATTTATTATTTTAAAATCTCTTGTTTGGAACATGATTTTTGGAGTGAGAATATTTATGTTCTACTACTATCTCAATTTTTTTACAGTCTCACAAGGGTAAGAGAGAAGCCAGCTGTGCCCTCTGTGTACTTACTAAGTTAAAGGGAAGCTGCAGAGAACACACAATTGCATTTTACTCAAAGAACAACAGCAATGACTTAACATCATTAAAAGAATGTGTTCACCCCCCATTAATTCTGTATTTGATTCAGAGGCTGTGGTGCAATGAACAGGAGCAAAAAAGCTATTTGGAGGAACTGCCCTCAAAGCTGAGGACTGATGTGGCTGACTGTGTATTCTGGGGAGCAGATCTTATAAAACTGTGTGGTTTAGAAGTTCTTTTAATATTAAAAAAGGCCTGACAAGAATGGTACAAACATTTCTCCTCATTATCTCTGGGCAAACAGCCTTTCCTTTCTCCCAGCAGTTGGCTGAGAGTGCCTGACCTTCCACTTGGCCCTTGTGAGTTGGTTTGTTTGATATTTCTTTGGCTGTTATTAGAAAAATGTCAGTGCTGGGGCACTCCCAGGGTGGCTTTGCTCCTGTGCCCTCCCAGGACAGGATCTGTTGGGATGTAGGGGATGTCTGAGTTAAGGCTGACTTGTTGGGAATCTGGGATTTCTTTAGCAGAGGGAAGTTAAGGGGAGAAGCATCCAGCCATGGTTAATGTGGAAGGGAAGCACAGTCAGGTGTGTGCAGAATGCCATGGAATGACTTAGAAATCATCCCTGCACTGCAGCTGCCAAGCTTTGGAGGTGTTCAGGTCCTGGGCACTGGTTCCTCCTGGGAAGGGCTGGCTGAAGGTCTGGGAGCTGGGGAGTTGCAATGGGTGTCAGGTGAAAGGATGTGTCTCCTCCAGTGTCCTGCTCCTTCCCGACTTTTCTTTTGGCTCCTGTTCCTCCAAAGATGCTGACGGGGTCCAGCCTTCCCACCAGCCTCTGAGAAGAGGCCCCATAAGTAATATTAACTTCTGCAATTTCCTTGTTACTCTTAAGCAGGTTATTAATTAACTGAATGTAACCACTGGCTGTTGATAAATCCTTTTAACTAATTCAAATTCCATATTGAGCCTGGAGCGTTTTCACTCGAGCTGCTGCTGGAGTTAAGCTGGGTGAGGAATTAGTCCTGAGCTGTTTTTGAGTGCAGGAGTTGGGGAAAACGGAGAGAAGACATTTGTTTGCTTGATTCCACATGACAACTCCAGGGTAACTGAACAGACTGTACGGTTGGGTTGACAGGGCTGTGCCAGCAGCCTCACATTCCAGAGGCAGGGGGATGGAAGGGGCACTGACAACTGCAATGGATCCCACCCGAATTTCTCCAAAGAGCGACAATTTACCTTCAATTATTAATGATTTTCAGAGGTTTCCCTTCTGAGAGGTATGAATAACTTAATGTGTGTTCATGTAACGTTTGCAATGATGAATAAATTAGTGCATGGGAAGAAACTGAGCAGCAGATCCAAGTATTAAATAATGGAAGAGGTTTTTGAGGAAATGTAGTCATTAACAGTGGGACTGTTGCTGGTTTTTCTCTGAGTTCTCAGTGGTTATTGGATGTAGAAATGTATTAGTGATGTTGGAAGTGCCACAGAAAGAAAAGCAGTGCCTGTGTGTGTGTGTGTGACAGCTGGACATGAACCTGCAGTGCTCCTGGATCATCCTGGGGCTCCCCTGGGTTTCCTTTCCCTCCCCTCACTTGGGGGCACTTTGTCCCCTGTGCTGCAGAATTAATGTCTTACTTTAGGGGGACTTTGACATGCTGGGAATACACTTGGTCCTATTAAATCGTGAGCTGAAGAGACACTGGAGTGGATTCCCAGGTACCTGGGAGGAACTTCAGGATGTTCAATGATTATTCAGTGGCTGCTGTTTCAGGGGACTTTGAGGTTCAGTGGTTGTGCATTTATTTATTTATTGCAAAAAAACCCAATTTACACTGCCAGTGGCATTTTTCATAACAGGGTTCCTGTATTCTGACCCTATCCTGTGGTCCCTCATGCTCTGCCTCCTTCACCCTTTAGACAGAAATACATATTATTCCCTTTGTAAAATGTTATAAGGATTCTTTTTCTGTAACATCACTACAGTCTTGAAAATATGTCACAGATATAAAAGCCTGTTAAGCAACACTTAAAACTGAGCAGCTTTTGAAAGCACCACCATGACAGTGAGTGAATTGGTGTTTGTTATGAAGCAATTTATTCCATCTTGGCAGCGTGTTGTTTAGTTTAGTGTAATATTTTAATATCATTAAGATATTTAGGCATGGGGCTCTTACAAGACAGATCTGTCTTCCTGATGTTAAAAAATGCTAAGTCTTATGAAGTGTTATATATAGCATTGGTGTGTGCTGAAACAGGAGGCAAACAGAAACCTTTGGGATTCCTTATGGGCTGAAAACTGAAGAAAGCTGTCTTGGCAGCACGTAAATATTTATAAAAAAATTGATCAAGTTATCTGTTTGCTGGGAAGTTCCGAAGTCCATTCTTCCCCCTCTGCATCAGTGGGTTCTGCCTGGATTATGCAGCCAAAATTGCCTCAGAGACGTGAAATCTGCTTCACTTCAAGCAGCCCTTGCCCCACAAAACCTGCAGAGCCAGGCAGTTTATCACGGGGGGAGTTATTTACCCACCTGGGAGGACACTGAACTTACTCTGGGCTGTGAGAGTGGTGCAGCCCTGGAACTCTGCTGGGAGGGATGAGCCTAAAAGGCTGTGTAATTCCTCTGATTCTTCTGCAGTTCCTCCACAAGGATTCTGCTTCCTTGTGTGGAAGAGCTGGATGTTGAGAGCAAGTCAGCCCACAGCTCCAAGACTGAGCGAGGTGTTTCATTAGTAAACCCCAGTTTTACCCCCAGCCTAATTAGTAGACTTCATAAGTTATTGTGTCATCATCTGGTCCAGCTCAGCATCCACGGGATTTCAGGACATGAAGTGAGGAAACCTGTCATGACAGAAAAAAAAAAAAATGAGAGGCTTGTAGGAAACAATGGTTGTCTTGTGGGAAGAGTTGGAATATGTGCAGCTGATCCCATGGGAACTGCTGTAGTCTGTTCACCCTGTGTGGAAATGATGCTCTTTCAATATAATCTTTAATCCTTTTCTTTCACTGAAAAATGTAAGGACTTTATTTCCAAATTTTGGAAGAGTGCTCTGTTTTAGTGAGTAAATGCTTTTCAAAAACAGTAATAATTAGATTTATTTTTATAACATGGAGGGGGGAAAGGTTCTCTGAAATATTTGTAATATTTTGTCCGTAAATTCCATATGTGAATGTTCTTGGGAAATGTATCCAGACCTTTTTTGTTCCCCTGGGTGGGCATGGGGGGGGGAAGGAAGTGTCCAACAGTCTTGGTGATATTAAAACTTCTGTAACTGTTTGAGACAGAAATTCCACAGAACAGATTTTTCCTGTGAGGTGGAGAGGAAGAATTTCAAGAGAAGGGAATTCTGCCTCAAATTCCAAGTTTTCCTTGGAGAGGCTTCTAATCTTCCTCCTATTCATGGAAAAGGAAAATAAAATGAAATATGCAGTTGTTGCAAACATTTCTCCCCACCCTCTGAGAGGATGGGAGTCCAAACCTTTCTCTGTTCACCCCGTGTGTGAAGAACATCACCAACCCCCCAGGGTTTGGCAGAGCTGCTGTCCTGGTCTTTATGGGACTGTGTCCTAACTGTTAAACCCTGTTTGGTAGAACCCTCAGTTGTGTTCCTGTGTATCCTGAGGTGTATTTCCAGTCTGCACACACAGTGCTGGAAAGGCAAAGAGTCTCTGATATTATTTTACTTCTGCTTTCCTGTAGCACCTTTCCTCTGAGGCACCCCAAGCCCTTCCCATACCCCCGTGTGCTCAGCATGGACACATGTCTGCCAGGTAAGGAAATGCATTTTATTGTTTCCTTTGCCTTTTTACAGATGCTCAAAGCCCTGGGCTCTGGTTTGCCCAAAGATCCCCACGGTAAAGCAAGACCTTTGGCCTCCCAACCCTTCAACACCAAACTCTCCATTTAAGGGGAATTTTCAGATCACTTCCCTCTCCCGTGTAATTCAAGTTCCTTTTTTTGACCCAGGTGCTCGTTTTACACCTTTTGGATTTCTTTCTTGAACGTTTCTTTAATCTTACCTTGTGTTCATCAAAGAGCTTTGGCACCTGTGCTGGCTTGGCCCCCGAGCAGGGAACGGGAATCTCCATATGGGAATTGTGCTGCAGCACTGGAGGAGAACCACGTGTGGTGTCCGTGGCAAACTGAGTGTCACAGAGGACAGGGGGGTTTGGGAAGTGCTGGGTTGGTTGGATTCACTCAGGAGCCCTGGCTGTGCCCTGGGTTTGGGGTATCCCTGAGCTCACTGCACCTCCAGCAAGTGAGCAAACCAGGAGATCCTCTGAGGTTCACTAAAGGTGAACTCTACTGGCTTGGGCTTCCTAAAATTCCTTAAATATAGTGAAGCTTTCCTTGATTTATGTTGCTTAGCATGGAATTAGATTAATAATATTATTGCACGGTTCTCTGAAGGTTGGATTTTGTTCATAAATAAAATTAGGCAACCAGATTTACATTTCTTTGGAAGCTAAGGAAAACAATTATTTTTTCGTAGAATTTCCTTCACTGAAAATATAAAAATTTTTATCCTCTCACTTCCTCTTTGGTTTAAAAGATATTTTTTCCTGTCCTTCTAATGTCATTCTGCAGGACCTGAGTTCCTGGTAAACTGGGAGACTCAGCCTTTTAGCTCAAAGTTCAATTGGCTTTTGGATGCCCTTAGGTCCAACTGCCCTTTTACATGGAATTTTTATTGTTAATCTTCTATTATTGGGGGAATTATTTTGCAAACAGACCAATTCAGTCTCTTCAAGCTCTGAAACCTGTCAGGCTGCCTTTCATTGTGATTGCTTGTGATAAGGAGCTTTGGTAAGAATGCTGTGCCTGCAGCAAGTGGAGACACTCACCTTGGAGGGGAACAGCTTCAAGGGCCCAGGGAACGTGTGGCTCTTTCAGCTTGTCATGAAAAGGGAAAGGAGGTGTTGGAAATCTGATCAAACCTTTGAATTAGATGTGGGACTGCACCAGGAACCAGTGGAAATGGCCTGTGTTATACACTGAGGCTTTTTTCCTGCCTAGAGCTGCTGCTTTCTTCCCCATGTTTTGGCTGTGGGAAGGTGTGGGTGGTGTGGAGTCGAGGTGAGGTGGCCTCAAAGTGATGGGACATCCCTAACCCTGAAGCAATTTAATCATCCAAACTGACCCTTTAAAAAAAAAAGGTAATTAAAAATGACACTTTTTAAGACACATGATTGTTTTCCCTTCTCCCCAGTGCCAGCTGCCCATTAGCAGCAAACAGCACAACCTTGCAGAGAGCAAGGAGATGCCGAAGGAACAATTTAATGCCTGTGCAAGGGAAGTGTTTTCAGCACTGTTGCACAGTGTAGGCATTAGGAAGACTTGCTATAATTCCGTTTCAAAGAGCTCATGGTAAGTCAATGATTTTCTGCACCGTCCTTAGTGCTGTCTATAAAACCCACATCAAAATGTCTGTTCAGGTGGAGATCAGGACCTTTCCTGTGCAGAAACACACTGAGCAGAGTACAGTCTGCCAAAGGCCAAGGATCACAGAACACCCCGAGCTGGAGGGGACCCACAAGGATCGTGGAGCCCAAATCCTGAGGAAGGGGCTGCTGAGTTTCAGAGCAGCTGATCAAAGGGAGGGTTCAGTGGATCTTCCTTCCTGGAGCATTTCTCTGCATTTCGTGGGCACGTTTCGTTGTGCTGCTTCTGAGAGTGATGTTAAAAGCCAAAGCAAACTTCAGCCCCTCTTCTGTGCTCATGTAAAGGTTACAGAACGACAGCATTGATTCCTCTGGCCAGAAATTCTCCTCTGTGGCAGGTCTGTTCACTTGTTCTTTTTCTTTCAAACAGCGTGAGCTTACCGAGGGTTTTTTTTTTACCTCCTTCCCAGGGAAGTATAGCTTTCACCAACACAGAGAGTTCTGTTTTCTCCATTAAAAACAACTGCCCTCAAGTGGAGCAGGCTTTTGTGTTTAGCCCTGGAAACAGAGCAGCTCATTCAGAGATAAGGCCTCTCTGCATTTGGGTTCCTGCAGTCACCTGACAGAGCCATGGGTAACTTTTAGGCTGCTTTATTCTGCATTCCTGACGTGCCTCCCTCCTGGCACTGCAATGAACAGCCTCGGGTTCAGTGCCTGCCACCCGAGCCCGGAGCTTTGTGCCCGCCGTGCCCTCCGATGCTGCCCGGGGTGGCAGGAGGGCAAAGCCAAGGGTCAGGCTTTGTCCCCAGAGCACCTTTTCCCCATCACCGAGGATGGCCGGGGGGAACCCTGAGCAGGTAAAACCATCACTTTGTGTCCGTGGCTTTTCCGGCTTTTATTTTTGAACTTGAGACTTGCTGAGAGCGAGAAGGGACGGGCTCGATCTGAGCTCACACCACCCCCGATCTGAGCTCACACCATCCCCGGCACTCGGGTGGGGGGTGCTTTGTGCCACCGGGGCTGCCAGGAGGGTCCCGCCTGTTTGTGCCTCGGGCTTTGCAGTCTCAGGAGCTCCTTTCTGCTTTTTGCGTTTGCTTTGCACGCGTTGAAATGACCACAGGAATCGTTTTGGCAACAGAAGGGACTGTTTTTTTTCTAAACGAGAGTCGTTATCTTCTCCATCTTGCTAATAATGGCTTTCTGGAGTCAAGGCACAACAAACAACCCAGAAAGCAAAGGAAGAGGCTTCACCCACCTCCTGGAGCTCTGCTCTGCTGCTGACCATGGAAAGGTGCTTTGTAACCCTTATCAGCTGGTCCAGTCACCAGCCTGCTCGGGTTATATTTATGCAGATGGAAAAGAACTTAAGTTTATTTATTAAGCT